GGGGCACTTTTAGGCACATAAGATTGCTAGTGCGTTGAAAATCTGGGATTTACATGAAGCCATAATTGTACAATCGTACCCTTTGGATTTGGCGGCTATGGCAGAGTTAGTCGTCTCTTAATTGGAAGGTTGAGGGTTTGGATCCCCAGCTCCTGCTGTCACTTGTCGAAGTGTCCTTTGGCAAGACACTGTAGACCTTGAATTTCTCCCGCTATTCCGACAATGTGTGAACATGTTGAGTTTTGGACATTTTATGTAGCAGCCTCTGCCATCAGTGTTTTGTGGTGTGAATGTGACATGTAGTGTAAAAGTGCTTTGAGTAGTCGGAGGACTAGAAACATATACAAGTCAAGTCCATTCACCATTTACTAACTTACTAAACACAAACTGATGGTCTGGTTGATTTCTTACCACTTTCCATGAACACACTGGTTAATCTGAGAAATGGACAGCTAACAGGGAGCTAGTAGAAAAGTCCCCTGACTGAGAACACTGGGGATAAAGTGAGACATGAAAACACATTTTTATTGAGTAAATCACAGCTTTGATTATTGTCATGCCTCCTGCTGATAACTCAAATAGTAAAATGATTTTCCTGTACCCAAAATAAGGCATTCAGTGTATACTCACGTTAAAACTGATGCTCATAATACCAGGAATCAAAAGGTCACCAACCCTCTCAGCACACCATCTGTTGTTTGGGTCCGGTGACATGTCTCCATCTCAAAATGAATTTTACTCGACCATTAGGGAATTAAACCAAAAATGCCCTAAAAACAAAAAAAATCCCTTGAATACATCAAACCTCATTACAGTTTTTCATATTTCCTTTTGAAATGGTTTCGTTGCAGTGTGTCAAAGGTGAAAAGATCGTGGAAGTGAACCTCTCCTCAGTAGTATTGATTTCATGTCGAGGCTTTCTGTGCTCTTACATGTGCTCGTGTGTTCTTCTGAGCTGCTCTCTCTGTTTCACAGCAGGAGAGTGAACTTAAAAGTCTGTGTAGGTTCTCAGTCATCCAGGTCACATTAATCCCAAACTTGGTTGAATATCTGGAAGACGTTTGACCTCTCCTCTGAAAGGTTTCTTCAGTTCATTAAAGTTCAGTAAACTTCAAGAAATTCAGACTAAACTAGAACATAATATATTGTTAGGTTCAATACACAGTGTTAATTTTACAACCTAGTTTCAGTTTAATGACAGAACTGTTTGTAAAACTGTGAGTAATGTATTGATTTAAGTGTCTTTTGGTCAACAAAACCTTAACACAATAATAATTTTCTTACATTGCACAAAACTCCTGACAGACCTGCATGTGAACACTAACAGTCGAAATGTGTCAGACTTTAAAAAAAATAAATAACAGATTAACGGACCCTCACACAGCATTATATACAGTATTAGGACTTTCACACTTGAAGAAAACTCCTGAAAAACTCCTGATTTTCCAGGAGGAGCTGAATGTGTGTACGCAAACGAGGCTGGCGAGGAATCATTTAAGGGATTCCCTCCACTACTCCACCCCCGCCCCTGATGAAAACAAACTCTAAAGTTGACCGTAGTAAAGACGAACGAGCGAAACCGACCTGAGGAAGAGAATATGTTTACCAACAATGTATCCAAGTATAATTTACATGATGTTTATATCTCAGCAGCACATACAGCCACAGTACGGCAGCTTTCAGTAGCAGCTCCTGCTTCCTTATGCAGCGGTCTTTGATGTAGAATCTGGTGTTTCCATGGCAACAATAAACATGTGTCTGTCATGGTGGCCTTTACAAATACAAGATTAAGGATTTCTATGGCTTTGATAACTGTTGGACATATTGGAGGTAATGTAAGAACTCAACAACAACAAAAAGAGCATAGGTTTTGACAAATTTTAGTTTATTTATATATTTTGGTGTAAACATTCCACATATTCCACCGTTAAATGCACATCTATAAGTCTAAGGTCTGCATGTTAAGTTTTTAATGAACTCATAAAGTTGGACAAGAGGAGCCTGTGTTAAAGCATGATCTTGGAGAATACTTCTATTATCAGCTACTCTGCCATCCTGATGAGCTAGAAGGATATTAACTGTGTAGAATCTATTCAGTCTTGATTTTTAATCTCCTGAGCTGAGGCTCTGTCCTCTCTCAAGGTCGGCCATTTTCTGTGTTTTCTGCTGCATCAGGTATTTGTGAAGCTCCGCCTGCCTGCCTGCATGGCATACACAAACTCACTTCCTCTTCTAAGTACACAACACACACTCTCTAAACACAGTAAGACAAACAGATGTGTGTTTTAGTGCCCACAGTGTATGCATGCAGGTGCTGACAGTTAAAGTGAGGTGTATGGTCTCATGTCCTTCCTGTGTGATTGAGGAGGAGCACAAGAGGAGGACATGACATGAATCTCAACATGTAGCCTGTGTCTGTGTCCATTACTCACTGTAGAGTTCTCACCATCCCAGAGTTTTAAACTTTGATACAATACTACTCATATTCAAACAATATCCCTACCTGTTACCACAGAAACAAAAACAGAAGACTTTGGCACCCAATATTGAGTAATATGTCGTTTTTTATTAATAAAAATTGCAAGCAAACTCCTGCACAGTCTTAATTGTCGTTGTGTACGCCTCTCTTCTTCAGCTACTAAAATCAAACAAGAGAAGCCAGAAGCAGAAAGCGCCCTCTGCTGGTTTAAAAAAACAGTATTGCAATTTGTATTTTTCTCAAATTTACGATTTTTATATATATATATATATATTTTTTTTTTTTTTTAAGGTTTATTTTTGGGCATTTTGTGCCTTTAATGGAGAGACAGGACAGTAGATAGTTGGAAAAGAGAGAGTGGGGAATGACATGCGGGAAAGGAGCCACAGGTGGGATACGAACCTGGGCCGCCCACTTTTTATGTTTTTTTTAAATTGTATTGTGAGGTATCATTGTCCCATAGCACCTTAAATCACATGGCATTGGGAAGTATGTCAGTATTTAATTATTGTACATTTGACAACCTTCTCCACTCACTAGTTCCTAGCTGTCGATATCATTACCACAGTTATCTACTCCATACTGTGTTGGTTTGAACGCCTGAGCTTTCAGAACCATAATGAACCACTAAGTATGTGCAGAAGCACAGAGGCTGATAACGTTTCAGTCTGTGGATGATTTTACGCCACAGGTGATCTCAGGACGAAACAAGGTGACGCGTTACTTTCTGCTCTTAAGGGAGGCTTAATCACTCATGATTATACAGTCGGTTTATTTTTAGAACTCAGATCCCTGAATCACAACGGATTAAAGAAAAAGTTCATAAAAATGTTAAAGTGACTTTAGCATTTTCTCCTGTTACAGTACATGTGATCCTAAAGTAAGATATTTAGAAGCCCCGTGACAGGATTTACCCATAATCCTACAGTCTGAGATGTAACTTTATGATCATATCTTTCACCTGCATTAGTTCATAAGCTACACAGGGTATTCCTCGTGTTTCTGGAAACACTGGTGCAAATGTCTCTTTGCTGTCTGCTGTTTGACAATGATGATGATCTGGACCTATGGGTCTGAAATCAAGTTTGAAGTAAATGAAACGACATCCAAATTGATGTTACCTGATTTAGCCCCAAGGCAGGTTCTCCTTGTGAAGTTTGAATCCTTGACTAGTTTGAATAAAACAACATGTACAATACTGAGATCTCTGGGGATTACATGTGCTTTATATATGCCATGCAAGCCTCCGTCAGATGTAGGAGCAGCTGCTCCAGTGTGGCCTGTGAGGATCCTCTCCTCCCACGCTCTCTCTCCTCCTGCTGCTGCCCCCCCCACACACACACACACACCTCCCCTCCACCTCTCTCCTCCTGGCGTCATCCTCCTGGGATTAGAGTGCAGCCATTGACTGCCACAGAAAGCAGGCTGTGTGGACTTTTCTCTCCTTGCTGTTTTATTGGGTCATTCCTGCTGTTCCTGTCGTCTATTTTTGGTCTGCTGATAACGTCACATTAGGATTTCACTGGGATGTTGTCATGTGGTGGCTCATGTTAAAGCAGTGACACTCAAGAGGGCGTCCACTGCTGATCATAGAGACACTGATGATTCAGTGGGCAGGAGATCACTTATAATAACCTCAAACTGACCTTAATCACAGTTAATAAGTGTTTACAACTACAGATAATATCACACACACACTGTGTGGATATTATGATAATACATAAGAGGACAAGAAAGTGTAAAACCTGGTCGTATAATAACACATTTCTGAAGAATAATCAGTAGTAAGACAGTGGAGAAGTGAGTTTTAAGTAAGTAATCTGTGTGTCAAAAAGAGGTGATGATACTAATGTGTGAACAATTAATAGAGACGTGATCACTCCCAGTCACAGTCTTTCAGCCATTGTCGCCTGTTTTATTTACTATTTATGCTGTCAGTTATAATACTGCACTGATGTAGGTGAGATGTTGATTCATAGTGATCTGAAACACAGCAGGGTGTGTGTGTGTGTGTGTGTGTGTGTGTGTGTGTGTGTGTGTGTGTGTGTGTGTGTGTGTGTGTGTGTGTGTGTGTGTGTGTGTGTGTGTGTGTGTGTGTGTGTGTGTGTGTGTGTGTGTGTGTGTGTGTGTGTGTGTGTGTGTGTGTGTGTGTGTGTGTGTGTGTGTGTGTGTGTGTGTGTGTGTGTGTGTGTGTGTGTGTGTGTGTGTGTGTGTGTGTGTGTCGTTAAATCATGCTTCACACAGCTCCGTCAGCCTGACTTATCACGTCTACTCACTACACACAATCAATTAATATTTCTCTCCCTCTCCTCTGCTCTCTCTCTCCCCCTCTCTTCCTGCTCCTCTTCCTCCTCTCCCTCCTCAAATTCCTCTCTCCCTCTGCTTTTCTCCCTCGTCATCCTCACCCTGCCTCCACATGTGATTTCTTTTATCTCATTTGTCTCTCTCCCTCCTGATCTACCACTTCACATCTTCCTCCTCCCTCGCCCTCCCTCCCTCCCTCTCTGGGCTTCTCTGGCAGGCTGCTCGTTGCAGTGAGTCAGTATCATGGAGGCAGGCAGCGGGGCTGCCGCAGCGGTGGGGAGTACAGCGCTAGGACTGCTGGGAGCCACAGCCACGTCCAGTCATGACATCTTGGACAGGTAAGAGAGCTCTGAGCAAGGCGGCTGCACACACTCAGGACGAACGAGAGTGAGGAAGAGTGCAGGAAGTGTGTGTGTGAGGATGGAGAGAGAGACCACACCTTAGGGTTTGGTGAGCATGCTAGTTTGTTTATAGTCAGAGTGGGGGGCATAGGGAGTGTGAGTGTGTGTGTGTGTGTGTGTGAGTGAGTGTGAGTGTCTGCTGTGTCTGTGTCTGCGTGACTATCTTTTTACACACTCTGCTTGTGTGAATCCAGATTCTCCTCTGGCAGTTGCAGAATCTGGATTGTGTGTGTGTGTGTACGTGTGCTGGAGTGTGTGTTGGAGATAGAAGTGTGTTGTTACTTGCTTTCCTCTATGCCTCAAGGAGAAATGACACCAGGGTATGCGCATGCAGGGGGAGGAGGAGTGGGGAGTGGGGGGGGGGGGGAGTCATCGGTAGACGATGCTGTAGCTGAGCCGATAGGATGAGTTTGCACAGTCACCACTCCACCCCCTATTTAAACCCACACTCACACCCACAACTCCCATAGCAACTGGGTGACAGCCATCGCTAGCCGGCGCCTGCTTCTGGAAACCCCTCATTCAGATTTCTCAGACGACCACCGGCTCCAGCGAGAGGCCGAGTGTGTCCGCTTTCAGCTCGTTACGTCATCGCTCCAGCTGTACGCCCACATGCCCGTGCACTGTCATCATCACACACACTCTCTCACACACATAAGACACACACACATATGCTTCATGTTTTAGGACAAACATGGCAGTGACACGTGCAGGTGATAACACGACCAGCGGACGTGGATCTTTGTTGTCAGGTGCTGATGGGATATCACTCGTCTCCTCCACATTACAGTCGTTACTCTCTCTCTGTAGCGAGAGAGAACTAATCTGCAACCCGGGGATCTCCTTTGACACATTGTACAATCAGAGATGGAAATTAAGGCTGTGACTCACTCCGCTGTCATTCCCTCACTATATCTGTTAGTCACCGCTCACAGCCCGACTCCAAAATAATACACACTTCATCTACACACACACAACTGTTCCTGCATCATCAGGACAGGTAGGTAGCAGCTGCTCTCCTCTGCATTATAGCGCAGGCTGCATGGTGTGCGTTTATTCCCACTGCTGGATTAGAGTGTGTGTGTGTGTTTCCGTAGCTATATCTGTCTCTCGGTTTTTGCAAATGTGCACTGTTGTATTTTGTTGTTTTTGGAGGTTTTTTGAAGGGGGGGATTACAGTAAAGGCAGCTCAGCCCCCCCCCCCCCCCCCCCACCTGCCCCTCCACTCCTGAACGAGGTCTAAATCCTGCACCGGGGTTACCATGGCAGCAGCAGCTTAGCATACATTAGACAGCGGTCCAACATTACTACTGAGTGAGTGAGTGAGTGAGTGAAGAGATGGTGAGGGAAGAACACAAAATGGGGAAATTTCTGTTAACATGACTTGCAGATGAAGTCATGTACAGTGTGTGTATACAAGGACCAGTGTGTGTTCACTGTTTTGCACATTTCTGCAGATTGTCTGTATCGAAGACAACAGGGCCGGTGCTTGGTTGGGAGATTGGGCGAGCGCTTTCTAAAAGTTTTCCAGTGAATCCTGGTGGACAGACAGGGGAGGGGTGGATCACAGGATCAGCAAGCCACAACCGAGGAGGGCTGGATTTGGAACTGGAGGCGACACAGAGGAAAAGAATGAAAATGTTTTAAAGCTTTTTAGTTTTGTGGTTCCCTAATCCAGTCAGACAGAAGAGCACACAGTAAATCAGTACTGTGAGGGATGTAGCATTCCATCAGCATGTACAGATTGACTATGGTAGATACATCAGCAACATTTTGTGTTATTTCCTATTTCTTTATGTCGATCTTGGATCCCATATGCGGATGTACAGATGTTCCTAGTGACTTATTTCCCAGTCAATTAAACATAAATTTAAATTCAGACGAGTTGACTAGTCTAAAGGAAAGACTCAAATTGCGCACAGGTCATTTAAGTCGGCTAAACATGGGATCAATGTTATATCGCTTTACTGAGCGTGGCCAACGTTAGCAATGCTAGCACCACCAACCTTCAGCCTTCTCGCAGGTTAAAGTCCACATGTCTGTGCTGAATGTGGCTCTGCATTGCTCTGGTTGAGTTTTTACCTGCACTGCTCCTAATAGATGCCACCCTGTGCTAGTATATATCCAGGTAATGGAGCAAGCAGAGCAGGTACATTAATCAGAGCTACAGTCCTGGATTGGAGCGGGGGGCTGCGTTACATCTGAGACACAACTTTTGATCAGCATTGTGGGCCTACATTCATAAAAACATTAACAATCGTTTAAGCAACTCATTCTGGGGCCTTATAGCGAGGGTGAAGATGTTTAAACCATTTAGTTGATGAAATGCCAAGATCCCAAGTCTGAAGACATTTTGTCATTTTCAGAGCATCTGGTGATATAAAGATAACTAAGAATTCTCTAAGAAGTCTTTCTTGTCCATATACCGGCCATATTTACGATCCGATAGCAACTTGAGAGGAGATTCAGAAAAAACATCAAATATAGATATCTTTTAAAGAGAATAATCAAAAGCAAAAACCTGGTGAGATGTCAGTCGATATGTTCTAGGAATTACATTCTGTCCAATGTGTTTGTGCCTTTAGCTCTGCACACTGAGCTTTGATGCATGAAACCAAAAACTGCTCAAATGTAAAAAGTCAATAATACTTGAACTATAAACAGAAACTGGCATGCTTCTTCTGACAGTACAAATCCTTCCCTCACCTTCACATTTCTAATTCTTGTGCAGATATAATTTTCCTCTTGATCTTATCAAGTCATTGTGTTTATTTTTTATTTGAGTTTGTTAAAGGGGTAGTCCAACATTAATTAGACATAATTATCTATTTGCGTGTCATGGTTAGTCCTACTCATGTGCATCAAATTGTATTGTGTTTTGTAATTCTGGAGGAGAAATGTGATGTAACAGTCATGTCATCAGGGTTTTTTTAGGATTGAGTTCAGAAAGGTGTTACAAACTGGGGGTATTGAGTTTGAAGGGGGAGGGGGTTAACCATGCAGGGAGGCTCTAATGAAAGAGTCTATTGGTGTTAAATCCTCACTGTAGAACTTCATGGTTGTTACTATTCATTGTCTCTTTAAGTTGGATAGCTTTTGCTGAAAATTGTCAGGTTTCAGAGTCACCACTTTGAATGTTGAAGCATTCAAAAGAGGACATACATGTAGCATCACATTAAATCATTTTTTATTCTAACCTTGTCCTTTTCAGGAAGTTACCAAAGGATTTTTCTCTTTTAATTTGGGGATTTTTAAGCCTTTATTAGAGACAGGACAGTGATAGGGTGCGTTCGAATTGTCCCTCCTATTTCCTTTCACTATCCATTTTACCTTAACCACAGAAGCATTTAAGTGGCGGCCATGATAAGAGCCGTTTGAATTCTCTAAAAGTTAAGGAAAGGTGGGCCAGTGCTTCCTTTATAACCTCCTTTAGCATAGGATACACTGGACCATCCTTTATGAAAGGAGATGAGATATGCCGCCCCACAATTCCTTGCGGCTGCAACATTTAAAGCGAGTCGCGCATCTGACCGTTCACGAACATTAACGATGATCGTAAAGTGTCACAGATCATGTAAGAGATAAAAAGATAAGAGACATTTTTATCAGATGATGTTTTATTCAACATATTTCATTCACTTAAGAATGTTTTGTGCAGTTGTACATTTGTATGTTCAAAACATTATGTGTAGGCTATATCTTGCATATGTAACAATTCATTTCATACAATCATATTTATTTTGATGTTGATTTCTGATTGGACAGGAAGCTGATGGTTTCACTTTTGTTACTTGTAGCCTGGTAGTCTATATTTCTTTTATTTCAATCCCAACCTCGTGGTGATCAGGATTATTTCACCGGTAAGAAGGCACAGGGGAAAGTTTTTTAGATGATTTTTTAGTAGTCCATTTTCTGATTTAATGACGTGGCCTAGTGGAAAATGCAGAGAGAGAGAGAGAGAGAGAGAGACCAAAGGTCATATCTAAACCTGGGTCGCCTCCTTGGAGGACTCCAGCCCCAGTTCATGGGGGGCACGCACCAACCCCTTGGCCACCAGCGCCTCGTTACTTAACAATTTTAACAGTTTTCTCTTATTTTACCTGTGTAGATTAAAGTGCAGCTTGTTGTAACCTAAAGATCAATCAGAGTGAAAATATCAAAGTGGGACTGAGATGATCCAAATGACTGTTATCACAATAACTCATACTGCAGTCAAAGCTGTAGCTCATTAGTTAAGATTAAATGTTTCTTTCTCAAGATAAACTTTTGAAAATTATGATGAAGTTGATGATAAAGGAGAGCAGCTGGAGGTCAAATGTTCTTCAACATTTTGTTTGTCTTGTAACTGATGCTGCACAACAGCAGTGATGCTACTCAATGGACAGTCACTAACTCAGCTGTCCATTAAGTCCATGCCTGAATTCTGCTGAGGGGAAAATAACCATCAAACCCAGCGACCATGCAAGTGTTCAGTCATTTCTGTAAATGAGTTTCAACACCAGAGTAATATGTTGAGAGAAATGGAGGCATATTTACAGCATGTGTCCCTGACAGAGCTGATTTGAAATACAACGTTTACACCACAGCGTGCAGATCAAATAGCTCCTGAACAGTTTACCCTTTCAGAAGAACACCATTTGAAGTTACAGATGTAATTATCTGGATGGCAGAGCCTAATAGAAACGGAAACAGACAGTTGACTCGTGTTTTGCCTGCTCTGCCGTATGCAGCACAGATAAAGTGCCTCAGTGTGGCCGCAGCTAAACTGCTGCTGACTGGAGAGACTTTCAGCCGGTGGACCAGATCCAGAACTTACAGAAGGTTGAAATCTCGTGCTCTGACTACTAATAACTTCCTCCATGTTTTTTCTGCTGCTTGTAGCTTTCCAAGGCTGAAATGTGTTCAGTGTCTACAATAGAAATCTCTGTCTATAAGAA